GTCTGTCTGTTCCTTGAGTCGTTTATAAGCTCATCTATTTTTCCAGGGAACATCCTATAGATCCTGCCCTTGGGTGCTTTATGGCATGGATTATATTCCTGTTTATAACCGCTGTTGGTTATTTGAACGACTCCATGTACTGAACAATGACTCTGTCTATCTCCTGTGGGGTCTCCATGGGCTACCCCTTTGGAGATACAAATACTAGGTACATACCATCGTTCAGATTCTGCTTGAAGCACTTTGTCAAATCAGCAGCACGAAGCCATTTTTAGGACTAGGTGAATACTTCCTGGTCTGTATTAGAGCAGGGTTTTCAAGTCCCACTTAAACTGAGGTTTGGCTAGATCCACAGTATATGCCCAGAATCATATTGGATGGGAGTCCATCGCTAAGCAGAAGGGGCAACTGTCTCGCGTCCCTCGTAGGAGAAGGAGGCCTCAATTTTCAGACAACTTGTCATGCCATTTATAACAAAACCCAAGGGTCATTTTAACCAAACTTTCCACCAATTCATAGAGTGGAGATCATACTGACTACTTACCCAAAAAAAAAAAAAAAGAAACTAAAAGAACCTACAGAACAGCAAGGCAAAAGTGCACTTTCATGAAATTTTGCCAACATTTCAATTACAGAAATCTTGATAACTTTCAGAAATCTCATCAGACTCGATCAGAGGAAATTCCAATGGCCCAAATGATACCAAAATTGGCACACAGCAACCTTAAACCAAAGCAAAAAAAAAAAAAAAAAAACATAAAATTTGACACCTAAACCCTAATTTCAGTTTTGTAGATGACCGGAGGGCAGCTGTATTAGCAGAGCCAAGGTCAACACACAGTTACATCAGTCGGTCTTGTGAGGCTGCACCTACAGGATCGGGTGCAGAACCTAAGCAGACCTGTCATATCTACTTTAGCAGATAACGGGGCCAGTAGAAAAGTTGAAGACTGCATTGAGGAAATGTGTGCCTGAGAGGTTGAGGAAGAACTGCCCATCCCAGCTATAACTAACTTCTCCAACTCTCTAGACCACGAAGACGCAGCTAAGACCTCTGATGGCTTGTCTGGTTTCCCTGTGAGTTCTTGGGGCACCGGTGCTTAATGTGACTGGTCTCACCGCACTTGATGCGCTTTATCCCCGCAATATTTGTCATGCTAGACATTCCTAGGCAGCCCTTCTTTAATCCATCCAGGAACAGGTTTGACTTCTTCTTCTGACCCTTACTGGTGTCTCGGAACCAGCTTCCTTCGCCTCCCACATAGCGGCGACCCCTCCCTCATGACTACATGCACCAGTGAACCCTCCATGCTGTGTCGTATCCAGGTCTAGAGGAACATCAATTTCCTCCTGGTTGCCATCATCATTGATGTACAGCCGGTGACCTTTCTTCCTCCAGTCCTAGGGCGGCAGCTTCTTGCTCCCACTCCTCCTAGCTCCTATGGACACATTAGCATTCCTCAGCTTGGCCTCTAGATTGACACCCTGGAGGTGAGGAGTGAAGTCACTGTATGCTATACTGGCCTGGGACATTGATGAGGCGCGAGGTCATACCTGACCTCTTGGAGCTTGATGATGCGCACTACCTTTTGAGTGACTGGCTTGACACCCCGAAACTTGCCCGTCTCCGACATCCGGAGCTCGTCTGTGGCCTTCTGGCCGCTGTCCTGTCGTAGAAGCGCTGCTGGACCCTACAAAACTCTCTGGTGTCATGGTCTTAAGCCCAAACCTCATGGTTCCTCCCAGACCCATCTGTTGCTACCACTCTGTGCATCCAAGCTCCGGCGGAGCCTTTCAGGAATGTAGATGCGACTAGGGCTTCCCTATTCTTCTGCATGTCCTTCATCCTAACATACAAGGGGGACCGTACTCAACCAGGTCTTTAGATTTTCATCCTTCTTGTCCGTGGAATAGCAGTCCGGCTTGTCTTGATAAAGAGAGCACATAATGGCCCTGTATTGCTTGATACTGGTGGCGGTCCTGAGGTGGTCAACCTGGGGACTGAAGAAGACTGTGCTGCAACTTGTGATGCTGCACCAGCAGTTGTTCTGGATGGCTGAAGAATCCCAAATGGTGGCTGGCCTGATGGCGATATGAGCAGTGGACCCCGACCACTAACATGCGGCAGAGGTCTCAAAGGAGGACTAAGTGGCGGTGTTGGGCACCACCAGTGTAGTTGGGACTGCTGTCCGTGTCAGCGGCTGATTTATCCTGGCGTTCATTGACCCAATCTGGTCATTAAGGGCTAGGAATACTGTTATCATAGCCTTGTCCTTTTCGCCCGAAGTTCTTACCGCCAGGTCTTCCAACCTTTCTAGTTCTCCAGCCTGAGCGGTTCTTCTGCTCTTTGCTTACGGAGGGCTGCTTTTGACAGGGGTGCTTGAACCCCTGCCACTTAACTGGAACTTGCTGACTGCTCATGCTTGACATGGTGGATTGACTGGCCGAGGCTGATGCCATTGCTGCCCTAGCTGCTGCTATAATCTGCCCCTCCCCACCTCCAAATACTTACGGCCTTCGGGCAGTCTGAAAGCTAGTTCGGCGGGCAACTTGCCCCCCCCACCGAATTTCTTTTATTTTTCCCTAAAAATTCCTGTGAGAAGACCACCACCTCCGCGTACGGTTGCGGGAAAGAAAAAAAAGATAAAAAAAAAACGAAAATAATAAAAAAGTCTGGCGTTAGGCCAAACGGCTTGATGGGGAGGCTGAACGTTTGGGCGTTCGGGTCCGGGCACTCGGCCCGGGCCAAATGCGGGCTACCCTGCTAGTAAACATCAGAAAGATGGGTATCAGAATAGAAACATGCACCGTATTGGCTAATGCTAGAAGGTTGGTGCAAACTGTTCCACCAATTTAAAGTGAATGTCATTATGCTGAATTTATCGGTATATTTATGAGACCTGTACAAACAAGACGAGAATCTACACGTCTAACACTTCCCAAGTAAAATTGCTGCAACCCAGACCCGAACTTTGGGACAGTTCTCAGGCGCTCTGGTCTTCGATTACAGGCACACCACAGCCTGATAACCTGCTGACACGGTGAACAGGCCTGGCACAACCACGCCTTCGAGAAGCTTGGCATGCAACCCTCTTCCGAAGACCTCACCCCCTAACGCTGTGGATCATATGCAAGACACGATGCAAAGAAACGATAGCCGGCCAAAACACACCAACCCAGGAGGCTTGGGTACACTTCCCACAACTGTTACAGGTGGAGTACCAGTCTGGCACCAACAGATCAAAGGTCTGCCGGAGATAACAGGCTGATGAATGATTGGGCCCTTTGCTCAACTTGTTGGTCGTTTTCGTCAAGACATTTTTCCTACTACAGGAGTGGCGCTCCTTTTGTTGCAACTACCCATAGATGTTTGATCTTCTTCCTTTACTGTTCGCTTGATTATTCACAACTTGCGGACTTGCTCGGGGTCATGACTATCTCACAATGCCTTGGAGTGAAACCAGCCCAGTTGCTGTGAAAGCACTTGTCAGGGAGCTTCCGAATGCTTTTAACCAGCGCCTTAGCAAGCATCCTACATGAGGTGGTCAGATAGGAGATAGGCCTGCAGTTTCTGATGTCTTTTTCATTCCCATGTCTTTTTCATTCCCATGTCTTTTTCATTCCCATGTCTTTTTCATTCCCATTGTTATCTAGCAGGGATAGTATGCTGGTGATCAGGTAGGTTCCGATAACCCTTCCCCCCTTTTTTGGAACAATCAATGTAGAAATTCTGCGAGTTCTTGCCCAAGTATAGCCCACCAATGGAACCAGAACTCTTTGACATCCTGTGAGGTCTTCTCTATTGTCATTGCCTAGAGGACTTGTTACCCGCGTATTCCAACCATTGTCATATTTGTGTAATGCTTAACTCGTTAAAATCAAGTTAAATGCTGCTTTTTCTGTTCATTTTACTCCTCCTCTGCACCGTTTTCACTGTCCGTGAAAGGTACATATGAGAAATCTATTTCCTCTGTTGATTGCCACTGCTGATTGGCACTTTTATTTCACACGGGTTGAACTGTACTCCGTAATTGTGTGAGGTAGTCATGAAGCACATCATCGCGATTGCATGGAATTCCGTCTGACCCACCACCGGGCCACCAGCTGTTATTCGGCAACAACTGTGACAATATGGTCCTAACTTTTAAGTGTTTCAAAATTCAAATTTTCAATGTGTGAATGCGGATGTCATTGAATGTGATAGATCATAGAAGCGTTGGAGCTTGTCGGTAATTGATTGAAAATTTTGCCACAAAGGCTTGAGAAGACAATAGTGTTGACAAAAAACTGTTTTAATGTTTCTTTTTATATTTTTAAAGCAACACTCAGAACGTTATATTTCAAAAACAGGTCGTTGTCTTTCGGGACATCCGTTAAAATTGGAACGCTACAGAGAAGATTAGCATGGGCCCTGCGCAAGGATGACACACATAAATCGAGAAATGGTCCAAAATTCAAAAAAAAAAAAAAAAAAAAAAAAAAAAAACACCAGGTCGAGGGCGGGGCCCTCACAATTCAACCCGGAGTTGCCCTTGGAGTTTTTTTCTAGCCAGTTTGGCTTACGAGCCACCGCTGGTCACAGACTGCCGTCTGTCCTGCCCTTCCCTTGGATCCTCAATCTCTCGTCCTATTTCTATCCTATCTTTCTACGCCTTATTCCAGTCTACACTCTATTTCTGAATCCTCCACTTAAATAAACACCTCTTTGCTTGCTTGTCCTTTGTTCAATGAGTTAATCACTGTAGAGAGTGAATGGATCCTCAATCTCTTGTCCTATTTCTATCCTATCTTTCTACGCCTTATTCCAGTCTACACTCTATTTCTGAATCCTTTACTTAAATAAACACTTCTTTGCTTGTCCTTTGTTCAACGAGTTAATCACTGTAGAGAATGAAAGAAACTCAGCCCAGGGGGGTGTGGATCTTTGGACTCCCTTGTAAACAGTTCTTTTCATTTCTGGATATGTTTATCGCTCTTTTGGTTGGTATGCTGTTGCGCAGGCTGATTCTTTTGGAAGTCAAGAGTATTCCAATGAAGACCAGGCTGAGAAGACCATAGTATTGGCGTCACCAAGGCCAAACACAGTTCTTAACGAGGTGGACTCTCCTCTCACACGCATTTCCGAGACACAAACAGAATTGCTGTCCAGGGAAGAGCCCGTTGTTCCGTACAGTTGTTCGAGGGTTCCCCTCTTGTCTTCAGCAGAGAAGCAACAACCAAGTGGGTCACTTCAAAAGGTGTTGTCATTTTGCGAAGGGCGCAGCGGGAAATCACCTAGCAGCACTAGCCAGTGTAAAAATGTGTTGTCTTCAGTGTCTGTGTCAGCAAACAGCTCTGAGAAAAGCACTGCGAGCTCAAGGAGAAAGACACGTAGGAGGAGTGGGGAATGGGGAAGTTCTTCCAGTTTGTTCAGTAACGGAGATGGTGATGCTGCTCCCTCGAGTAGGAGCTCGCTAGAGAGAGCCTTGTCCTTTTGTGAAGGTTTCCATCACAACGTGCTTAAGTCGTTCGAGATTGCTCTTCCTACCCCACGAAGCAAGCCTAAACGAGAGGAAAAACGAGAGGATAGTTCCGAATGTGAGAAACTACTAGGAGTCCAGGGAAGTACCGAATCCCCTGACAATGGTCATTATCTCTGGAGCACCGCTGAAGTGTCCTTGGGTGGGAAGGCAGAGCTTCTGATGTCAAAGAGAGACAGGGACATTGTTGCGCATGACAAGGTCCAGGAAGGCTGCAGCGCTGTGAGCAGTGCTGCACGAGAAACGACTCCAGTGCGCGGTCCGTGCCAGAGCAATGAAGCTCGTTATGATAGGGACGCTGGCCGTAGGAGTAAGCAGTCAACAGACGTGTGCACCACATCTTTTGGTGCCAGTGCTTGCTCCGATCTTTCATCGTTTGATCCTCGGAGCAGGGGAGAAGTATCTTCTGGAGGCAGCGGTGATGCTGTCATGGTGGAAACTGTTGGGAGATCAGGGTGTCAGCCAAGTGTATCAGGGAGCCATGGGAGGCAACGGAGCAGTGAAAGGGCTACTTCTGGGTCCGAGAATGACAACGGGAATGTGGGTACAGCTGAGGGGTATGTCAAGCTGAAAGGTGGTGGAAGGAATGAGGGTTGGAAGCTCACTGAGAAGGTGCTGTGTGGCGAGGAGGAGGGCAACAAGCAAGGGCTACTGGAGTGCTCTGGGTCAGATATGTGGGGTGTGGAGATGAACAGGGGTTGGGGGTCCAATCCAGAGAATGAAAGAAACTCAGCCCAAGGAGGAGGTGCAGGATTTACAGGTGCAGGTGCACTCTCTGCGCAAGATGCTAATCGTTGCGAGGAAAGTGGAAGAGAGAGAGATAGTGTAGGTGGGCAAAAAGTCAAGGGGAATTCCAACGACTCATTGGCTATAGTGAGGAGCCCATCTCTTGGGAAAGAGAACTTGAGGGCTGGAATTGGTTTGGGAGCTGCACGGACTGTAAGCATGGACTTGCATACAATCCCCACAGTGAATTCCATGGCAAGGGACTCATTCAAGGGGGGACTGACGGCAGACTCTCCAGGCCCTCTGGTGAGAGCCCAGTTCACGTTTTTCCGCAGCTCACAAGGTGAACAGGAAGGTGTTTTCGCCACTGAATCTCAAGGGCATTTTAGGGATGGACAACTTCCGTTTGTTCAGCAGCCAGATCTGCATTCCAGGTCCAGGCTTCTCGCCAACGTCCCTCGTTTTCAGAAGTTGGATGATCGCCCAATCATCGCTGGCTTGTCCATTCATCTTCCCAACACTGAGGCTGAGTGGGATGGAAGGGGAATTCCCAATTCAACAAAAAAATATAGAGAGGTAAGCCTCATACAGTTTGCTTGATCTCTTCCATTAATATCGGCATTTCTCGACTACTCTTTGTTGCTCCTATTTTTTGTTTGTTTGTTTTTTAACAACAAAGCCCCTTCTATTCTGGGGGGCATCAGTCCGGTTGCTTATCACCGGCAAGCATCTTTGTACAGCAAAGAGGGAGAAAAGACGAGAAGAGAGGATCAGCCTAGCCCTTGCGGCTCTAGCCGCCTAAACAACGGGGGGGGCCTGTTACGGAGCGCCCCTTTCTCAACCCGCTTCTTGGGGGCTGTCCTGGTGGTCGGGAGGCTTACTAGCAGCACCCGGTCACACAGCAGGATGGCCTCCAGAAGAGCGGGCCGTGGGGGGGGAGCGTTCCTATCAGTCCCTCAGGCAGCATGTCTGTTTGCCCACATCATATCCTTGTCTCCTCCAGCATGTCTCCACATATCTAATTCTAAAAGGTCTGTTGCCCTTCCCTGGTCGTGAATAGCCCCTTGCCCCTTGCCTCTTAATGTCCTGTGTATCGGCCTGATTATGTACACCCTATGTCCATCCCCCCTTTTCTAAGCTGCCCCTTAGCAGGGGCTTTACAATGTGTCCTCTATTGAGAGTGTTGACCCCAGCGTGTTCATTGTTCCTACTTTAATCGCTACCGTCCCTCTCATCTCTTTATTGTGTTTATCCCTTTTTTCCTTCCCCACAATCCCCCCCACCTATTCCCCCCTGTCTATTCCCCCACCCCTTCTTGCTTCTCTGCCAGTTCGAGGCTATCTACCTTCCTTCTACTATTATTCCCACCCCCGCCCCCCCTACTTTTCCCGCGTACTCTAGCACAGCATCGCTATCAATCTAATGTCTATGCTTTCCCCCGTTTTAACTACTATTGCACAGACCAGCTGCATCCCTTGGGGGTCATGGTCCCTAACCTGACTCTGCCTCGGAGTCACCCTGGGGGCAGTGGTACAGCAAGACAGGGCCGAATTGCATTTGGTCCGTCTGAGGGTCCCGGTTAAGGAGCTGCGGATACGGGCACCATCTTGCCCAGAATCCCTGCTCCTTCTGTTCCCCCGTTCACCTACATCTATGGAGATCTGCCAGGAGGGCTACTCTGATGTTTTCCAGTGCCCTTTCGTGGTATGCTTGCTGCGGTGTGGTTGTGCCTTGCCTGAATCGCTCACTACGCAGAGTCCTCAGGGCCCATAGTATTGCCGCCTGTAACCTTTTTTTTTTTGTTTGTTTCAATTTCAGTCCGGTTCCTTCAGTATCTACTTTTGTGCAAAATGCGTCACCCCCACACTGCCCATTTCTGCCAAACATGTCACATGCAGCAATATGGTTCGTGATTAGGATATCATTCATCGTTCTGCCTGCATATCCTGCTGCCTGGAGACTGGATGTACTTGGAAACTGGGAGGTGGAGTGTCCAGAACCAGGCGGTGTGGAAGAAATATGTTTCTGTTTTCGTTTCTTTCTCCTGGAGTTTGGCTGAGAATTTCACCTTTTTCTTTTCCTATTCTGAAAGTTGCTTGTAACGGGATTCCACGTGCTACGCCTCTTTTCCCCCCGGCATTTCTTTTTCAAGTTTTTCTGTTCCTAGCGACTTTTTTATTTTCTGTTTTGAAGCAGGGCATTGTGGTCCAGGCTCTTTGTCTATTCTGTGGAGCATCAATCCGTCTGTGGTCTTCCATGGGCAAGCCACAAATACAACAGGTATCAAACTCAGACCCTTGCTTTTTTTTCAGGACAAAGGAACAGCTGAATAGCGTTAATTGGACTGATGCTCTCCAGAATGGACAAGGAGCCGGGGCTGCAATAAAAAATAAAACAAAATGAAGAGCATTTAGTGCTCCTTTTGAGGAGGATTAACTGGCTGGTCAGGTTCTTAACCATCTTTGGTTCCTCTGTTAGGTTCCCTTTTCCCCAGCCGTTGGATTTGACCTATAGTTCTCTGCACTGGCTGTGCTCTCATGATGTTCGCCTTGATTTCCCCCACGTGAATGTCACATGTTCGTCATCTGAGGTGTTGCTCATGTATGTCTGTGATATTGCCTTTAAGTTTTGTCTCCGTGTCGAACCCCTCGAGTCTCTTCTTCACCAGCGTTCGCAGTTGCTGTGGATCTCTCTCTCTCTCTCTCTCTCTCTCTCTCTCTCTCTCTCTCTCTCTCTCTCTCTCTCTCTCCCCCCCCCCCCTCTCTCTTGCCCAGCTATGGCTGGCACCCACATCTGCGGGCGCTTGGTGGCCAGCAGAGCACTGACCCACTGCAGCACTGGAGTGCTCTCAGAGGAGCAGTCTCCCAGAGGCAATGCCACTGGAATCTGTCAGTGCTGCGCTGGCCTGGTCCTCAAGTTGCTGGGCCGTGGTCTCTATGGGTCTGGCAGGCTGGTCTTCCAGAAATATCCAGAACCCGGCCTACCAGTATCCCTGCAGCATCCTGATCCGGTCTGACCACGTTGGCCAACCAGCTTTCTGTCCTGCAGAGTTACGATCGGCCCTCCCAAGTGCACAAACCTTTTGGCGTCGCAGTTTTTAGTACATTTTATCTCATCGTGCCACTCGATATGTTATCCCTCTGTCATTGCGAGCTATCTATCTTGGCCGATTGTCCGCTATTATCGTCAGACCATTTGCATTAGTGAGTTGTCCCTACATACTGCCCAGCATGTAAGTCAATCCTTCAGTTTTCTTTCCATGGTACTGTTGGTCATGTTGTGTAGGTTCGGCGCCTGCTGAGGGTGCTGTAATATTGTTGGTTTTGTTGCGACCTTTGTTCTTCCCTTGCATGTTCATGGTGGTATATAGCCACAATTTACAAAATACAAGGAACACTGTCAAAATGGGTACGTAAAAAAGCGCTGATAAGCTCCTGCTGAAATGATTCGTGATCTTTTCTTCCTTTCTATCTTATTTGATTTGTGCAGGATCAAAAGGTGGTGTGCTTTTCCACCCCTTTTGAAGTCAGGCTGGAGCAGGAACTGGCGAGCCAGGATTCACCGTGGTATGCAATCATTCTATAACGCAGGGCCGCTTTGCCTACCCTTGTCTGAAAGCCTTGTAGTATTCGTTTTTTTTTTTGTTTTGTTATGACCCTGGCCAATTTCGAGATACACATCCACTGGAAAGTACAATGCCATCCAATTGCAGAAAGAAATGAATGAACTCGAGAAGAGAGAGAGGAGTAGAAGAAGAAGAAGAAGTAAGGAAGAAGAAGAAGAAGATGTACACCAGCAAAGACAATGACAAGACTCTTCTTCTTCGCCCAACAATCTCCTCCTCCTTATCTCCCCCTTCTCTTATTCATACAAGAAATAATAATACAATGTTGAATGACTGGTCCAGAATCATGTCCGAGTCCCTTTTCTACTGCCGGTATCACTCAAGGTCCACCATAGCCATGGCCGCCTCTCCCACTCTTCGCACACATAGGCCGAGGCTATGGCGGACTACTAGGCCTTGCTCCGATGTCCGAAGGACAACGCAGAGCAGCTATGGCTGCTCCAGCTCAGGCCGCCATGCCCAGCCCTGCCTTGAAGCTTCTTGGTGTAGCTCCCCCGGCTGGGGACTCCTTGCTGCAGCGCCCACCAAGGTGATGAAGATGGCTGCCACCATAGCCATGTAAGTACCCCTGGCGTTCCTCCCCCTTCCTCCTTCCTTCCTGCTTCTTCCTCCCTCTAGTCCTTCTTCTTCTCCCCAGCAGCGCAGCTCCAGCCCAGCGCTGCTCCCTCCAGCGCTCCACCAGTGTGTCGCCAAACTTGCACACCGAAAAAGAGGCCGGGTCTTCCGCCCGGCCGGAAGATATAGCGGCCTGCTTTGCCTCTTGGGCGGTGACTTCCAGGCCGCTGGCCTTCCCAAGCAACCGGTACCTCCTCCTCTTTTGGAGGGAACATCATTGCAGACTCTGATATTGCCCCTACAGGCCCTAGACTCAGACTGGTACCCGCTAGACCTAGCCTACACTACCGGCCTCTAAAAATGCCACTTTTGTCTTCGTCTGCTCGGCCTCCGGTACCTGCATATTTACCCCCCTGCCGGGTGCGGTACCGGCCTACCCGCTACTTGTGTGCTTTTTCCCCGCTGCAACCCTTCGAAGCCAAGGCCACAGGTAAGTACCGGCCCTGAGGGCCCAACGAACGAACAAGTGCCCTGGAGGGCCACACACACACACGCTCATACCAACCAGCACTCAGACAGGCACGGTCACACACGCAAGCCAACCAGCACTCAGACAGACATGCGGTTTACACACACACACAGACTTAGCAGGCGGGGAACTCAGTAGGGCATTCAGTCTATGAGCAAAACTCAGAAATCAGCTGTGTGTTTCAGTCCGTGTTTGGACGGGTTATCACACTACCCCCCCCTCAAGAGCGAGATCCCTTTGAGCGAGTAACTCATTCTGAGTCCTCGGCAAACGCATCGTAGGCGAGCAAGGCAAAGAGATTCCTGGAATACTCTGTTGCAGAGAGAGCCTTGCTGAGATCTTCGCTGTGGCGTTAGCGGCGATCTGTCGCTCGTAAGCTTTAACAACGCGCGGTGCGCTGCGTAGCAGTTCCTGTTTGGAGATCCAGTAGAGATCGTCCAACGGGTGATACATGAAATGAGCCTGGTACTGTCTGTTTCTCCCCTTACCTACATGCTGTTTAATTCTGTCTATCTCATGCCCGCCCTTGATTGCGTGAGGGATCATATCTTCGCGGTAATCGAATGTCTCGGCATCACGATGGAGGTACAGTTTAGATGCATGGAACA